GTTAAAAGTTATTAAAAGTTATTAAACCTTTATTTATTATTAATTCTTTAATATTCTTGATAATTATTTGATGGTTTTCTGGTTGTGTTAATTTTATTTTTTATTAAAGGGGTGAGACAATAGAAATTTATTAAGACAGTCTATTATAGTAGCTATCAATTTACTTTTTTAATTACTTCATTTCTCTTCTTTTCTGTTAAGATTATTCCAGAACAGTTTGGTGATGAAATTTTCAACAATACCTTATACTTATTATAACCAAACAAAACATTAACATTCATACAAAAATTAACTAAAAATAATCTTTTTATTTTATCAAAAAGAAAAGGTTAAAATGAGATGAAAAGACATGATTATTTGAGTGAAGTTATATACAAAGAAAATTCATTAACTCAAAATGGAACGAAAGCCACTAGTTGTTTATTATTCAAACTGTGATTCTGTTATAGGAGAAATAGCTCATAAACTTGCTCTTGACGTCAAAGGGGATATTTATGAAGTAAAGACAACTCAGAGAATTAAAAAATTACAACTAAAACAAGATGGTAGAAAAACATTTAGTAAATTACCTGTTGTTTTTGACTTAATTGACTTCTCACCATATAATGAAATTTTTATTGGTGGTGAATGGGTTGGGAAACATTTAGTTGGTCCAATGAGACAATGGATCAACCAAAACAAAACCTTCATCCTTCGAGATGATATTCAACTTATTTTCTTTGGATTTGACAAGAAAGGAAGTAATATTAATAAAACATTCCAAGAGATGGTAGAATTACTTGGAGAGCCTTACAGAAGACTTATCATAACTCCAGAGGATTATCCATATCATAACCTATCAAGAAAGATTGGATATCATCAAAATGCATCTGAAGAAGATGAAAAGTATCTTGATAATCAAATGACCAATTCTGATACTTCTCTTCTTGGAAAAGTTCCAATTAATAAGACAGGAAAGATGAGAACAACTCCAATGAGTGATCACGAACAGCATGTTCGTATGGAATAAATCCATTTATTTACTATTTAAAAATTCTTGTTTTGTTTTCTTGTTTTGGATTATGAAAATGATAAACCATCAATCAAAAAATCAATTTGTTCATGCTGATTGGAATTCACCTAAACACTTAGTGAAGAAATATTCTCTGTGTCTAAATCTTAATACACAATTAATGAAATCACACCTATGTCTAGAGTGTGAATGTTTAACTGATGTAAACAGACAAATCATTACTGAATCATTTTCTTGTTCTTCAGAACTTTCATCGTCTGATAATGAGCCACTATCATCATCATCCTCACTCTCAACATTTTCAATGACAGGTGGGATAGTTGCTACTGGTTGTTGAATAATTGGCTCTGTAATAGTTATAGGCATTATTGGTTTTTCTTCTTGTTGGACAAAAGAGCCATGGTATGGGTCATTTGTTGTTCTATCACCTGAAAGAAGTGGGAAACTATGTTGAGGATGTGTAATAGAAAATTGTTGATTTTGTAAACTCTGAACGTGTTGTGTGTATAAGTCGTTAGACCCATATTGGTCTAATGGTTGTTGGTATTGAGCTTCTTCTGTTTCATCATCGCTCTGATTTTCAAGTTCTTCACATTGACTTTTCCATAGCTATATTATCTTTAAATATACTTCTTCCCTTTGTATTAGAAAACAAACTCTTTTAAATGTATCAATTTGTTCAACATCAAAACCATGTGCTTTTAATCGTTCTTCCATTCTATTCATTACTTTCTCAATTACTGTATCATAAAATTCATGTGCAGGACTAATAGACATTGGTATTGAACGCTGTTGATAACTCATTTGTTTATGGCTAAACATGAGTAAATTTTGTTTTTCCTTTTTTTGAGATTTAGGGTTTTTATAGCCATTCTATTTTTATACTCGTCAAGTTTTGGTTTTTAGTGAATCTTTTTAAAGTTTTTATTGCTTTCTATTCTTAAAAAAGTAAAAATTTTCTTATTAACAATAAGCTAAAGAATGCACAGTATACATACACTTATTTTGTTTACAAGAAAAATGCCAAGTCCAACAAAATTAACATTCAAAAACATAATGTATATTTAAATCTTATTAAAATAAAATCTAATTATAATATATTTATAGAAATATATTTTTATATTCATATTAATCAATCTACCTAATCAGTGTTAAACAACCAAACTTTCAGAAATGATGCTGTGGCACATGCAACTACATTACGTTTAGTTGTCCATTCCATTTGTGTTAATATTTTTTACATTATTTTTTGTTCAGTATTGTTAGAAATTAAAGAATAAGTTTTTTACAGTTATAACTTCTACATTATTCGATTCAGTAATTGTTGTCAGTCATTACTTGATATAAAGAATCAAAAAAAGTTAGTTCTGAAAATTATTCAGTTAAAACAAAATAGATATATAAATGTTTGTATTGAAGAAGAAGAAATTTTAAGTATTAGAACTGAAGTTAGTGTTTTTTTTGCTTATCTTAATCCATTAATTTTAATGAACATAATAACTTATATTGCTCTAGACTAAAACATTAAGAGTAGTTGAATAAGCTTTCTTTTTTATAATAGATTAATTGTTTAATATTTGTTATTTGATTATTTAGACATAAAAAAGTTATTTATAGAATAGTTTTGAAACGTGTTAATATGTTAGATGAAATTGAATGTTCTTTGTTACGTTTCTCTAATATATGAACGAATTACAGAGAAGTATAGAAAGTACAATTAATACTTGTAAACATACTTTTTTTTGATAAATCCATAATAGTAAACTGAAGTTGAATTAAAAACAAAAACCTTAAAATTTTAAATTCTTTATGGTTTATTAAATTTAATTTATGTTATGTTATATTTATAAAACGAATAGTATTATTCTTTATCTATAAACTGTAAAATTAGAAGTATTACTATTTTTATTATTCTTTGTTAAATGTCATAAATATATGTCATTATTAATATATTGACAATATACTTTTGTTCATCATCACAATTATTCTTCTATAATATTTGTGTTAAAAACTATAATGCTTTCCATGGTTTAAAAGAATAAATATACGACACAATGCCTTCTGCTAATCAACAATAAGTATAACTGAAAGGGAGTAATTAAATAAGAAAAAAAAAATAGAAAGATAGTATTTATTTAATTTATTAACTATCAAGTGAGTCAAACAAATAACAAAGTAATAAAATGAAAGGTCAAAGATTTAATTAAAAGAACAGGAAAAGACTGTTTCATCTCATAAAAAAAGGAAAATAACGATTTGTTTTTATGCGTGGCAATGAATAAATATGTATTATTTTTAGTAAACCAAAGAAGAAACAATCAATTTTTTTTTAAGAACCGAAATTAACTATTAAAGAATAGTTTTTGCGTAATAATAATTATTTTAAGATATACCCTATTTGAAATTCAAAGTTGTAGAAAAAACTTTTCATAGTAATGTGAAAGAAAAAGATTGGCTTGTCTCTTCGAAAAAATATAACATCACCAGAACTAAAAATCTAAATAATTTCAACTCCCTTATGAGGATAAATACCTTTTTAGTTTTTGTTTTAGTTAGTCTAACTCTTGGAAAGAAGGCTTGGATTGTTACTGACACTCACTTTGATGATTTGTATGCTGAAGGTAGTGCTGCCAAATGTTATACTGTTGATTGTTGCCATTCAGACTCAGTTCCAAGAAAGCACACTGAAGACAACACTGCTGGAAGGTGTGGTAATTTTAATTGTTATCCTCCTTTAGACACAGTCACTTCATCACTAGACTATATTCGAGAACATAAATCTGAAAGTAACACTGTATTTTGGTTAATGGATGTTGTTCCGGGAGATGTTTTAAACCAATCAAATGCTATTAATCAAAATAGAATAAAGATGATGGCTGACCAGTTCAAGAAAAAACTTCCTGGATTTAATGTTTATCCAGTACCAGGAAATCATGATTACTTCCTTTCCAGTGAATGGGAATATCCACCTAGATGCCAGTGGATGTTAGAATTTATGAATGAACAATTTAAAAATTGGTTATCTCCTCAAGCACAAGAAACCTTTAAAAAAGGAGGATATTATTCTGAGTTGATTGATTCAGGAATTCGTTTAATTGCTTTAAATCTTGTTTATGTTGATAAATTTAGTATTCATTCAAAGAAATATAATGAACAAGACCCAGGAGATATGGTTGCATGGTTTAATCAAACACTAAAACAATCAAAGGCTAATGGTGAAAAAGTTATTATTATTTCACATGAAGGAATTGGATTAAAGTCAAGTGGTCAATTTGATTTAGAACCAGCATTTAATAATGACTTTACTTCATTAATGAAAGATTATAGTGATATTGTTATTACTCATTTTGCTGGTCATTCTCATTACCAATCATTCAGAATTCTTCCTAATATTGAGAATCCATTTTATCATGTCATTCTTAATCCTGCTGTTACAACTTGGAGTAAAATTAATCCAAAATTTAGATTAGTTGAATTTGATCAGAAATCAGTTAAAGATTATACTACATTTGTTTTAGATATCAATGAATGTAATGCTGGTTCTTCAGGATATCCATGGAAGAAAGAACATAGTTTTAAAGAAACTTATGGAATAAATGATATGAGTACTGAAGGATTAAAAGAACTTTATAATAAATTACAGAATGACGATGCTTTATGGCGAACATTTATGCAGTATTTTAAAGACTCAAGTTATAATACTTGTGATGGTAAATGTAAAAAAGGTCTTTTATGTGCTTTATCTCATTTGACAGAAGCAGAATATAAAGAATGCACTAAATAATTCAATTAAATTTTTAATTTTCTAATCAGTCCATTCATATTGGCTTTCAATAAAGTCATCTTTAGTAAAAAAATACATACATAACGCAATTATCATTTCAAAAACACAGAGAAAACTACACCGTATTGCATTGTGTTTAAAAAATGAGTTTAATGGATGAACTAATCTTTCAAAACATGTTGTGCTTGTCTTTGGAATAGCACCACAATTATCAACATTTGATGCTAACCATCCACAACAATGATGTTTAAATTCAACTTGAACTAAATTATTTGGTGATATTAATCCATGACTAGTTATATATCGTTGAGAATTAATTGATAATAATGCTACCATTAAGTAAAGAATAATTGGAATAAAACTACATTTAATTCCTAACATTTTATTATCTAATGACGTTGCAATTAATCTAATACTAGCAAATATTAAACCAGTTATTGTTGCAACAACAATAAATGCACATTCATTAAAATAAAAGTCATGATAATATAAGTCTTGTAAAATTGGTAATAAAATAGCATATACTAAATAAAATAAACTCAATATTATTGAAATAATTTCTCCAATAAATAATATTTTATCTCTTTGATTTCCTTGTTTATATCTATCAATAACTGTTTCAATGAATTGAATAACAATAGACTCATTCTGAAATACGTTCATTTTATATTTATAAGTTCATTTTATTTAAGTTTTATTTAATCCCACAAATTTAAATAACACAAAACTATCAACCCTAAACTTTTTTTATTGAGATAAGAAAAGGTAATTTTTGGACTTTCTCTCCTGACATTTTGACAATAGTCTTTTCTATTCAAAATATTTTTGTTGATCTAAGTCTTCATTGTCATATTTCAATGTTTAGTGAAAATTCATCATTACCTCAATCACCAGGATGTGCTTCTAAAATTACTAGACTCAGTGCTCTTAGTTGTTTTGCTTTTTCTGGTATTATTTTCTGTATCTTAAGTATAGTACTAGCATTATTTCCATTAAATCCTATCATTCAAAAATGGTACTTACCTATTCCTCAAGCAATTAATTCTATAGTAACAGATGCACATGTAATTTACCCAACAATAAAAGATATTCAAATGTTATCAAAAACAGTTATTCGTGGTGATGTTTTCTTCCAATTTGGTTTTGAAGAATTTAACAAGACCCTTGCATTTGGAAATGTTATTATTGATAATCAAATTGATCCTATATTAAATCTTACAAACTCAACTATTTCTGGTATGACTGATTTTATTAATGGAATTGCTGATTTCTTACATAAATTTCATATAAATTTTAATTTGACATTTGTACAGAATTTAAATACTATGAATAATATTTTACAAGAAGTTCCTTCTCAATTATCTCAAATGCAAATTCAAATGGGAAAAGCTTCTATTGCAGGTGCTGCTTTGGGACAAGCAGTAGATATTATTGGAATGAGATTTGATAAATTTCATTTAGTTTGTGAAAATTTAACTTTAGTTGTAGATGATGTTTTCACAAATGTGGATATTATAATGAATCAATTAGATCAATTAGATCATTCTATTCCTACAATAATCATAATAACAAAATTAGTTGGTTGTTTTTTATTTGCATGGTTATCATTTATATCAATTATTTTATTCATATTTATTCTCTAATTGATAATATTCTTTTATTCTTATTAAGTTTGTTTTATGTATTAAAGGTAAATAAATTCAATTAAAATAACAATTCATATCATTTATGAATTGTTGAGTTGCAAAAGAAAATGTTGGTAAATCTATTGCATTAGCAAATAATTGGGTTGTGTCATTTTTTTGTTCTTCAGTTAGTTGTGGATGTTGCTGGAAGAATGAATGAAGAACAATATTAAATGATTGTAATAATGAAGGAGCATCAGCATCAAGAATATTATATAATAAATCAATAGTTTCTTCTTGTGAATGTTCATTTTTAATTAAAACATTTAACAATTGAATACAAAAAGTAACAGTATTAGCTTTAAATGTAGGATGAATGAATAATTTCTTATTCATATTTAATTCAAGAACATTATCAATTATTAATTTCACCAATTCAATATCTGGTAATGAAAATCCTTGTAATATCATTTGATTTATCATTCCAAAGAATTGATAATTCTTTGATAATTCTTCAAAATAAACATCACAAATACGGAAAAATAGTAAATATCCTTCTCTAAAAATTGAGTTACCAATTGTTTTAATATTCATATTATTTATTATATCAATTGTTATTAATGAATAAGATTTCATAAGAATAGAAACATATAATGTATTTGATTTATTCTTATTTCTATATCTCCATTCTTTAACAAAGAAACATAATATTTTAATAAATAAACTTAATGATGAATTGCTATGTCTTTCATTTTCCTCAATTATCATTGAAATTTTACCATTAAAAATTTTAAATAATATTTCTATAAAATTACCTACACTTTGTTCATCCATAGCACTATGTAATTGAGTTAGTATATTATAATATAATGTTAATGTATAATGTAATAATTCAATATTCATTACTGGAAGTGTTTTTGGTAAAATGTCATTCATTAAAGGATTTAATGGTAATAAAATCATTTGTTTATTCAAATTATTGAGATCCTCTTTATTTTTAACAATCATTTGAATTGTTTTACAAAGGTCTCGATAATTATTAAATGTATTTGTTTGGAAACATTGCACTATTGGTTGAATAATATTTTCTTCAATAAGAAGTTTATACCCAGTTGCATTTTGTTCATAATTAGCTTGTTTAAAAATACTATCAGGCATAGGTAATACTATAATATCACTCATTCCAGATATAACATATTTTCTTAACACCATTGGGAATTTATTAATAAATGACGTACCATTCCTTAATATTTCTTGAACAATTGGAATTTGGTATATCTCAGGTCTACATGCAAGTATTAATTCAAATAATAAATCTATTACTTTACTTGATACTTCAATATTACTACATGCTGTTGCAATTTGAATAAATTGAATAATTAATTGGTTAATATATTGATTAGTTATTTGTGACTCATATTCATGTAAGCATGAGAAAAGAGTTCTTATTGCTGAATTTAATTTAATTGCAACAGTACCTGCATCATTATTAGTTATTTGAGGAAGGATATTTAATATTTTAAACAATGGAGAATACATACTTTGAAGTTGTTCTAGATTCTCTATTTTATAAATTAGATTTGAATGTATTTCTAAAAATAAGTTACATGTAGTTGCAATATCACATACATCACCTTCTGTATATAATTGTGGTTGTTTACTCATTATTATTTCAAATGAATGATTCATTGCTTCTAATATCAATGGTAAAACATATTGTCCTTGAAAATCAATTAAACTCATTAAAACTTGATATGCACTAAATATAAACACTTCAAATTCACTTTGTTCATCTCCTACTTTAGAAGTATCTAATAATTCAATTTGACTATATGTAGAACAAAATAATAGTGGCAATATTGTTTTACAACACTCTTGTGCTATTGGACCAAATTCATCTGCAACACATAAAGAATCTGCAATAGATGAATCAAAAAGTGCTCCCCATGCTTCGAACCACATAGAAACGGTAGTAAAATCATTTGTATGTGAAACAATGAAACTATTTAATGTTCTCGGTATTTCTAATAAAGAATCATCAAATGGGATTCTTGGAACACATACAGAAAATGTTTTCATTAGAAGATATAAAGCTGGTTGTGCTGGAACATCAGGTTGTTTTAAAAGATTTAATATTAGTGCCATAACTGAAATATGAAATTGTGGATTTGATGGTATTTTATTTGTTTGGAGATATTCTGTAAGACAGTCTAATGATGGTTTTACCATTGATGGTGTCACAATTGTTTTCTCCAAAACCACAAAGAAATTAGATGCTATTAAAATATCTGTAGACACCCATCCAACATATTTACTCAATGAAACTAATGCATCGACTCTATTTTGAATAACTAAATTCACTAAAACCTTTACTACATCATTAGCCTCTTGTTCAAATGTAGTTTTAATCCATTGAATACGTTTACTAGGAACATGGTATTTTTTTGCAACAGTTCTATACTCTTCAGCAATAAATGAATACAATAAAATAGCTATTCCAATTGTTGCTTCATTATGAATGAAATTAGCAATATCTGAACATATAGTTTTTCCATTAAATGTCCATCTACTAACAGCACATAATAATACTGCAATTTTATTTGATGCCTCCCTACTTCCTATTGAATAATAATATTCTAATGTCTCTAATAATTTATTTTGCATTTGTTCTAATGGTAGTTGTTGTGGTTTCATACAAACCCAATGATCAATTACAGTCAAACTAAACCAAGAAAATACTTTATCTTCATTTTTAATATTATTCATTGCCCAATTTAATCCATCAGTAGAGCTAATGAAGTTATTGATGGTTTGTAGATTATTTTGAATGTTTCTTCCTTTAAAAAAATCTCTTATTATTTCCTCCATATTTTTTTATTTGAAAAATAAGTTCTTTTTTAAGGGTTTAAAAAACTAAAACAAAAAAGTTTATTTTTGTTAAATAAAACATAAAAAAATTAAATTAATTAC